CATCCTGGAGGTACTTCCATAGCCTTTTCACCGTACTCGACTCGCTTAAGGCCCTGTCCCTTCTCTACACTGTTGGGTTGAGAAAGGGGACCAAGGGCAAGCTACCGAAAGAACGTGTCGAAAAGTTGGCTGACAGGACACGCCAAGTCCATCAGGGTGTGCGAGCCAATGTTCGAGCCCTCAAATCTTTCATCTCGGCTCCCGGTGTTCTCGGCTCGCTTACTGATTTGGTTGTGGCCGGTTCTGGAAGCGAAGATGGCTCCCAGCTTCGTACCGAGTTGGACAAGACTCTGGATACGGCTGCTTTGGAGGTGTTCTGTGGTGAGCTGATGGAGAGCTGGGAAGAAGGTCTTGGTGGGGTGTTCGCCGTGTCTATGTAGAACTCAGCGAAGGCAGCATGCATTGAAGCAATCATGTGAATTAGACAATCCATCCTTAGCCAAGTTTGCTCATAACAATACAATCTATCCACTAATACTTTTCTCGACGTGTGACATCCGTACCCAGATTGGCGGTTGCTACCATCCGGAGCAGTCTGATATTTCGGTTTCAGGATGCTTCCCACTTCTGTTGTACAGTTAGACCCAAGAAGCACCATTGGCAGAAATCGGCATGTAAGACAGACGTGACCTTGGAGTTAGAAAAGCGTTCACGAGACCTGTATGTGGGAATGTTGATCTCTCTGCTACGAGGATTCGGTATTTCATTTTGATTCGACATGCATGACTGTCCTACGTAACCCATGCCCTTGGGTCAGAAACATCGTAGATGAGACTAGCGATTCGAACCTGCCAGTGCTCGTGACGATGAAGCACCAGGGTAAGCTTGACGAGCAAAGAGAGGGTCACACTAGCATTGCAGCGTAATTTCCCCGAACCATTGTCGTCGGCACTTCCACGGCCCTCCCAGACTTGTACCACACACGAGTTCCCCGGCAGGTTGTGGCGCCTTCTTTCCAGGGGAAAAGGTTTCCATCTTCGTTTGGGGCCAGCGTTTGATCTTCATGGCCAGCAAGGACAGGGTCTTGCAAGAACTAGTTACACCCTAGAATGTGTCACTTTTGCCGCCTTGGGGCCACGAATTGAACCAGGGTTATAAACTCCGGTTGTCGGCCTGATAGGTCTAGTTATTGGGATTGTTGCTGATGTAGCTCTTTCACTTTGTCTGATGAACAATGCCATGGCCGAGTTCTATTTGCATGGAAGCTCTCCTTCACCCTCTTATGACTACCGGTACTCGCATCAGCCTTGGAATGTAGTAACTCAGACGGTGTGTCTTGTCGTGAGTACTGGCTTTGTTGCCATGCGGTTGTATTCGAAAATTTATATTACGAAGGCGCCTGGTTGGGAAGATTGTACGTGAGATATTTGTGTTGGACTCGTTAGTGAAGCGCTGAGCTGACCTGAGCTGTTTTCTAGGGACCTGCTGTCTGGCTTGGGTATGAATTCGACTCCTGCTTGCCGTCCCATACACTCATACGGACATTCCTACTAGTTTGGACTGTTAGGTTTTGTTGGAATCTCCTTCGAGGCGGACAGACATGGAAACGGTGTCCATCAATGGGAGGTCGACCCCCATGATCTGCATGACTTCGCCAAAGTACAAGATGACCCCGTTCACTCTAATTAGGCACATCGACGACAGCTGCTGACGGAGCGATCTAGCTGATAAATGCATCGCAGGTTCTCTATGGACCCTTGATATTTCTAACCAAGCTTTCTATTTTCCTTCTCTACTTGCGCGTATTCGCACCATCTCCCAAGTGTAACCAATGGGGGTTCATACAGATTCTGATGGGGCTGAACTTTTTCTTCTACTTGGCGGATACTATCGTGAAGATTTTCGAATGTACGCCAAGAGCAAGAATCTGGGACAAAACCGTTCCCGGTCGTTGCATTGATGCTGACATACCTGTCCTTGTGACGTCTATTGTGAACGTTGTCTCGGATATCATGATGCTGCTGATGCCTATCAGGTGTGTCTGGCGGTTGCAGATCGCTTTACGGACGAAAGTAGGCATTACAACTATATTTGCAGCTGGCATTTTGTGAGTCTGCCAGCCTGAATTGATCCATGATGTTCTTGGGAGACAAGTAAATAGCGCTAATTGCAACGGACAATATAGTGGTTGTATCGCCAGCGTGATGCGTCTGCGTTGGAGCGTCAGAAACCGCAACTCCACGGATAATACCTACGATGCGTTTCCTGAGCTTTTATGGACGTAGGCGATGAACCCCGCTTCCCTATCCAAATGGTCCCTCTATAGAAACTGACTTATACAACTAACCATATCCTACCAGGACGGCGGAAATAACCTCGGGAATCATCGCCAGTAGCTTACCAGCCCTTCCAAGCTTCTACAGATATACCTCCCAGAAAGCCAAGACACTCGTCAGGAGCATAAGTACACCAAGTCTTACTACGTTTAGAAGGAAGTTACCGAGCACAGGTAACGGATCTGGGACCCGACAGTCTGTTTCGCACCTTTCCTGGCATCCAGTTTTCGAACCAAGCAGATCCGAACTGGTGCGGCCCGGGTCGGACTGGGAGATGGGGGAGATCGGGCAATTTCACGGAACATTCTTTATGACTACAGCAGGCACGGCGGAGGGAGATGGAGAGAGGGGGTTCCACTCTAATATCGATGGGCTCCAAGTGGAGGACGGCTGTAAACCACCACCACCACCACCACCACCACCACCGAGGGATGGGATTCTGAAGACTGTGCAGGTGGAAGTGGATATTGAGTCGGGGCGGGATGTGAAAGAATACGCATAAAAGTTGGGTTGTGTTATATAGAGTGAGTTATGTATGAGAACGAGAGATGGTGAATTGAGCATAAAAGCTTTCGACTGAGATCTCGATAACTAGTAAATAGATGGAAACTCCGCATTTGATCTGAAATCCCCATATAATCCATAAAGCGAGCTAAACCTAAAGTAGTGTTGGCTAGTAGACACCTCAGGCCGTAACACATGACAAAGACGGGCAGTCAAACCCTAAGCCCTAGTGCTCGCTACGCACTGCCGCAACGGCCAACCAAAACCCAGCAAAGTCTATCGCGATTCCATCCGCACCGACGCCCCTCGACTCGACAACTCCCAGCAGCAACCTCCGTCGTCGCCAACCCGCAGTCGTCCCAACCGTCGTGATGGCGCAAGAACGTTCCGGAATCGTGGTCGGTCTGAACAAGGGCCACGTACGTTGTCCCCTGTCTTGAAGCTTGTTTTTAGTGTCCCGTTTTGTCTTTGCGCGTGGAAAGATTTGGTCCGGTCGAGTCGTCGAGATTTCAAGCATGTGAGCGGATTACGGAAAGGCACAACTTGGATGGGAAGAAATGAGGAAAATGCCGGAAAATTGGGTGGAATTGAAGGATGATATGTCGGGAGAAGGGTCTTTTTGTCTGCAATGCGGAGGAAGGATTCTTTTACAACTGCCCGACGATTCTTGCTTGTTTCATTCGACATGGATGAGATTGGGAACTGGGAACTGAAATTGTCCGACTCGGCTGGATCAAATCGGGACATGCTGCTTTGATATCTCCAATCATGGAGAATTTCGCAATTGAAAGACAGAATGAAAATCAAGGACAACCGGACTAACATGTCTTTGATAACTTGCAGAAAACCACCCCCCTCAACACCCCCAAGACCCGGATCAGCCGTACCAAGGGCCAGTCTTCCCGCCGCACGGCCTTCGTTCGTGAGATCGCCCGCGAGGTTGTCGGTCTTGCCCCCTATGAGCGTCGTATCATCGAACTCCTGAGAAACACTCAGGACAAGCGCGCTCGTAAGCTCGCCAAGAAGAGAGTACGTTTGCCAGTGCCTTTACTATTCGGGGGAAGGATATGGTTGGGAGGTTCGATTGTTTGCTTGTCCGCTTGCTCGCTCGTTCGGTTGTCTGCTTGGCTCCGGTCCGTTGTCTATCTGCATCGTGTTCTTCGACATCACTACGATTACGCTTGATCGATAAGTACGACCTCATGAGCGTCATGACCGGTTTATGTCTCAGAGAAGAGAACACAATCATTCGACAATCCATCCATCACCAAAGGATCATGAATGCCATCCGGAGACGACAACTCAAACCAACGAAGCAAGCAAAGTACCAACGACAGGACCATCGAGCACCCAAGCAAACAAGCAAGCAATTTGAACCACCGCCACATACCCCTCCGGCTCTTCACAACTCAAAACCACCTGCTAACATATCTTTTTTCTCTACACAGCTCGGTACCTTCGGCCGTGGCAAGAGAAAGGTCGAGGACATGCAGCGGGTCATCGCCGAGGCCCGCCGCACTGGCGCTCACTAAACTTTCCATTTCTCTCTCCAAATATCTCCTGTTTCCAGTTTTCTCTCTCTCCTATTAGCCAAGAATGAGATAACGAAAACATCCCACACCCAACCTCAAAAAATGAAATGAAAGTGAAAGTGAGAAACAAAAACCATGTTTCAATACATTCTTCTCTTCCTCCGAGTTGTAAAATAGCCCTTTGGGCGCAATGCGTGGGTCGGTTGATCTACACAACCTCCTCATCATTGTTGTTATTTATCCTGGGCTATGGTGTGAGGGATTGGCTGGTAGGGGCGCTTGACTTGATCTACTTCAGCCCCAGGCCCTTTCACGAGATTCATTGGTTTGTCTTGAGGACTTGGGGAAGTCTGAGATGATGGAAATGGTAATAGGCAACAAAGGACTGAAATGAGAAAGGTTTAGAAAAAACGGAGTTTAATACAATACCACTGCACTATTGGGATCTTTTGTTTCGAGTTGGTTTGTTTTGATGATGTTCTGCTCTTAGTAAATTTCTCCTGCTCTATTAGTCGAGTGGGACGGATAAACGCCGTAAGGACCTTCACTATCTATCCATAGAGGAACGTACGGAACTATTAGTTAGTACTAGACAGCTATAAGACTATCATCTGTGTACTCCCATAGGGGTTTAGGTTATTGTTGGCATCAATCATAACTATTCACTATCTATCTGCTACTATATCTTTCATTTCTTGCCTGGTAGTTTCAACCATTTGGGCATGCCGCCTGGCTTCCGCTTCTCGCCGCGAGTTTCATCCCCGGTGCTTGTCGGCTTCGGCCTGCTCACTTCCGAGTTATCTGTTACGTCCTTGGGCTGTTCAACCTTGAGTTCCTGCGCGCGTGTCCGTAGTTCGGGTTTCAAGAGTTCCCGGCTTTGCCGGGCGGCAGGGGATGCGTTCGCATCCCAAGTGAAGTTGACTAGCACACGACCGATCATGGCTAGATCCTTGATCAGCAGCTGTTGGTCTGAGTCGGGAACGACGTTTTGGATATGTCTCCCCGGTTGTCCTCCGCTAGATGTCTTGGGGAGGGAGGACGTGATGATAAATTTCTCGCTGGCGAATGGCGCGGCAAGACAGTTTCGGACAAAGTCGTAGAGTGATTTGGCCGTGTCTTCTTGTCCGAACTTGGCCACGACTTGGCTTTGGTCTGGTAGACGCACCTTGACGTCTACTTGAGTGACTGCGGCGAGCCGTTCCTCTTCTGCGGCTGCTTTGGCGGCGATTTCGGCGTCCGTGGGAAGGCGTTGGGGTCGGGAGGTTGCATTAAGTCGTCGCTGATGTGCTTGTGCGTGTTCGATGGATGGGATGTAGTCGGTCTCGTTGTAGTTCGTTTGTGCGGACTGTGGTGTAGTGTTGGAAGGGGGAGAGAATACGGTTATGGGTCGAGAGAACCCAGCTGGTACTTCGGTGGGCTCTGCAGCAGGCGCATTGGATGTAGGAGCAGTTGGCGGGGTTTGTTCCGCGGTAGAAGGTGCCTCGGAAGTAGATGCGGGCTGTTGCTGTGCCCCCTCTTGTTTGTTGGATGCATCGGCCTGTGGTGGTTGCTCTGTAGGTGCAGGCGGTTCTTCGGCCTTGGGGGTCGCGTCGTCGAACGGTTTGAAGTACTCCTGAATCTTGACCATAGCCTCCTCCAAAGGTTCCTCTGTACGACGAAAGCTCAGCCTCAGCAGCACATTTCCGTTGTTGAATCCCAGCTGTGCCAAAGATTTCTGCAGATCAGTGAACGAGGAGAGTTCCCGTTCCATAATCTGGACGACCGGAGTTTCGTAGTACAGTCTCCCTGCGCCTTCATTGCCACTAGGGACACCCCTTCCAGTTATATTCCGGGTCGGAGCACCTCCAGCAACTCCAGCCTCGAATTTGCGCAATACTAGCCATATCGTTGTCGTGCTGGGGAATTTATCCAAAAGTCGTCTGTTTGGGGGCCCCCCTCGTGCTTCAGATTCGGGCAGTTGTAGAGCGACGGTGACGACGGAGGGCGAACGGGAGAGCTGAACCAACTCCAGCTTTGCGCCGGAGGTGAGCCCAGAGAGGCGAAATACCAGTGAAAGATCGAGCTCTTTACCTTTGTATCTTGACAAAAGCCGTCAGTCTTGTGAACTTCGTAGGATGGGCATAGTCGAACCTTACTTTAGTCCATATTGGCTGGCATCCACACCTAGCTTTGTACACGCTTCGTGTAAAACATCAGTTAGATGTTTCCCAGGTGTCGTCTTGATAGTAGCTCGTCGGGCTGTTGCATCAAGAACCACGACATGAGAGCTCATGATTTGAGAGAGTTTGACGTTGCGGGGCGGGGAAGATGAGGTTCAAGATAGGACAGAGAGAAAAGCCGTCGACTACCTTTTTTTCTGCAGCAGTAAGCGACTGTGTAACCGGCTTATCTATTTGGATTCCACTAATCAAAGTCTAGGCCAGTAGAGAGAGAGAAGGAGATGGGGAGGGTGAGGGGGAATGGTTGTTCAAGGCGGAGGGAATTGATTGTAGGCAGCGGGCGCAAGCGTCATCGGCAGAAGCTCGGCGGCTCCACGCGTTGCTGGCAGAGCTTCAATCACTCCTCCATCCATCCATCCTCCGCCCATCTTCCATCTCCCATCGCCTCAACCCTCCCTCTACACGCTCACATCCCCCCTTAGCTCTTGGAACTCGACCCGGAAATTCATATTCGATCCTATTCTGAGCTTCTAGTCGTGCAATTCTTTCTCAACCATGGTATGTGTGCTGCGTGACCCTCACCTCTCCCTCGAACCAACCTAGCTGACAGACCTCCTCCACAGAGTTCCCCTTTCGATATCAGTATGTACTAGCTTCGCACAGCTTACCATCATGACTATTAACTCTCGGATGAACAGATGGCGGTGCCTGCGTCGCCATGGTGGGCAAGGACTGCGTCGCAATCGCCTGTGATCTCCGGTTGGGTATGCAGGCCCTGACTGTCTCCAACAACTTCCCCAAGATCTTCAACTACGGCCCCTCCACCTTCCTCGGTCTGACCGGCCTGGCCACCGACGTGTCGACTGTGTCCGACCTTTTCCGGTACAAGGTCAACATGTACCGCCTCCGCGAGGAACGGAACATTGCCCCCCAGACTCTCGCCAACCTGGTCAGTTCGTCGTTATACGAGAAACGGTTCGGTCCTTTCTTCGTCAGCCCCGTCATTGCCGGAATCAACAGCACAACGGGGAAGCCTTTCATCTGCGGATTTGACAGTATCGGGTGTATCGATTTTGCGAAGGACTTCATTGTTAGCGGAACTGCCAGTGAGCAGCTGTTTGGTACCTGCGAGGGTCTGTGGGAGCCGGACTTGGTAAGACTACTCCCTTTTGGAGAAAAAAAAATAACTGAAGATGGTGATGTATCGAGTCTGTACTAACATTCTGATGTAGTCCCCCGAGGACCTGTTCGAGACCATCTCGCAAGCCTTGCTCAGCGCCGTCGATCGAGACGCCCTTTCCGGTTGGGGTGCACAGGTGTATATCATAGAAAAGGACAAGGTGACCAAGCGTCTACTGAAGGGAAGGCAAGATTAGATGGCATTCTCTGGAGTATAATTGTTTTCTAATGTCACGCCGTTCGTCTGTTTTAATTTACGTCCCTCAACATGGAATCTTGCTGTTGATAGCAGTCTCTGGCGCCGGAGATCTCGACTCAAAGATACGTGCTGTCGATAGAGATTGGCCAAACAGAAAATGAGTATTATGAACTATGATCAAGCCCTGGATATCCATACTTGGGGTCTAGACCTGCCGCCTAATGCACGATAGGCCGAGTTAAGGGTACGAACTACCATGCGTCCACATCCATCGGCTCTTACCTTTAATGCTTGGCCCGTCGTTCGATTAATAATTATAATGGGCTTGAGTAATACGACGTAGCTTTCATCACAATTAAGAAGGTATGGTATCTTCCGCTTATTACGCAGGTAGTAGGCATCTACATACCAGCGGCAGATCAGTCTTCACACCCTCGCGTGCTGCAAAGCACGCCGCCCAGGACCAATACCTTGATTCGATTCGGTGCTTCGAGGCCTTTTACTTGGTGCAACTTTCTAATATCCCACAAAGGGCCGCGTGACGGGGATGGCTGCTGTACGCTTTTTAAGGAAGTTTTATGCCGTGGGTTACCCGGCCCGTAGATTCGTAACCCTTCCGGTACAGTGGAGACCTCATACGTACAATGTGAATGCTCGGATGGCACAGTTGCATAATGGCATCTGCCACCCCGGTCGAGACCTCGCCGTCCGTGCATATCTGGGGACGAAGTAGCTATTGACTGGGAAGCCAGCTGATGGGGAGAAGGAAAAGGTTAGTTGGTTAGGATGATTGCAGGATGAAGTTATGATGCAGCAAGTCGTAGGAAATGGTCGGATGCGAACGAGTAAGAGTCTGGGTCGGGAGGTCTCCCGTGACGAACAAGAGCCAGTGAGAAGACGTGGTGACAGTGTTGACGGTCGTCACTCATTAGACGAAGGAGTCTTGCGGGCATCTTCATCCATGGATCCTTCCCAACTGTTGGCCGATGACTCGTCCCTGATACTACTAGGTACCATGTGCAACCCACGAGTGCTGAAACTGGGAAATTTGTCCCGGAGCAAGTGTGAATTTATCCTTAGCAAGTGCAGTAGTGCAAGTTTAGTAGGCAGGCATGCAGAGATAGCCACGGGGTTCAAACCGGTGCTGACCTCCCCCCCGGCCGATCGCAACCTTGAATCCCCTGTTTTCCCCATTTGTGTGATCCTTCAGTCATCCTGGACTTTGGATTCCCCAGAACCTTTTGTACGCAGAGCCGGAACAGTGAGTCTTGAAAGCAAGCGAGAGCCTGCTGAAGGGGAGGCCCAAAACTTGCCA